CAAAATCTGTATAATACAAAGATATACGTACTTATATTCTAAAATGCTTTTGTGAAAAACAATGATTCAATTATATTCCTGTCAACAATGGATAAAAGGTTCAATGTGATTATTTCAATTATGATGTGGGAGTACATAGGTGAGTAAATGTGTACTGAGTATTTAGCATTTAGTCTAGGGTGATTAAGTGGCTTTTGAGAAGAGTCTTAAATTGATTTTCAGACTGGGTTACTTTAATATCTTCTGGTAATGAATTCCATATTTTGGGTCCCTTTATGTGCATAGAGTTTTTACAGTGTGATATGGACACGAGGTATATCAAAAAGAGATCTGTGTCTTGTGTTGTGGTCATGTGTCCTGTTTAGGTTGGTGAGGAAAAGTTTGAGTGGGGTGTTTATATTTGCGTGTATTGTTCTGTGTATGTAGTAGGCACATGAATAAGTATGGATGTTCTTAATGGTAAGCAGATTCAGACTTGAAAATTGGTGGAGTATGCTGGCAGGAGTGGGAATTTGTTATCATTCTTACTGCTGCCTTTTGCTGGGTTATTTCAGCACCCATATCCAACACATAACAAAAAAAGTATCCAAAAGGGTGGGGATCCTCTCCAAGATACGATATTACGTGCCGCAAACTGTCCTTCTCACACTATACCATTCACTCATTTATCCATACCTCACCTATGCTATTTGTGCTTGGGGATCAACTGCAGCAACACACCTAAAGCCAATAATAACCCAACAAAAAGCTGTAGTAAGAATAATCACTAAATCCCATCCCTGGCAACACCCCCCCCCCCCACTCTTCATAGATCTAAACTTACTCCCTGTTCAGTACATCCACACTTACTACTGTGCAATCTACATCTACAGGACTTTAAATTCCAATATTAACCTTGACCTAAAACGCTTTCTTGATAGTTGTGACAGGACCCACAGGCATAACACCAGACACAAACATCTCTATGACATTCCCCGTGTTCGACTAAACCTTTACAAAAATTCAATGTATGTCAAAGGCCCTAAAATCTGGAACACCCTACCTGAAAACTCTAGAACTGCAGACACATTCATCACTTTCAAAACTACGGTTAGAAAACATCTCATCTCCCTGATACACCCCGTCAACTAACTACATGTAAACCACCTGGTGGTTCACACTTACACTCACTCACCCATTGACTATAAACACAGAAATACGAATCTTAATCTTAAAATAATGAATCCTAACTAGTCATAAGTTTGCCTATGATACTCCAATATAGACACTATGTATTGTGCCAAAACAAAAGCATTCACATTGCTAAACTCACAAACTATAATGTCACTTAGCCTTAATACCATAATTTGTAATAATTTAAAGTTTAGAATTTAATCTAAGTCTGCCCGAAATGCCTAGCCATGCTAGGTGTCCTAGTGGCCCCCTCTGTAATTAGTATTTTATAACATGTAAACCACACAATATTCAAAATCTGTAAACCCCGCATTGTAACCCTTATAGAGAATAAACTTGATTGATTGATGTATACTGTATATGAATTAAACAATGTTTAATACTATTTATTAACATGTATACTGTACATGAATTAAACAATGTTTAATACTATTTATTAACATGTATACTGTACATGAATTAAACAATGTTTAATACTATTTATTAACATGTATACTGTACATGAATTAAACAATGTTTAATACTATTTGTAAATGAAAATGAACAATACTGAATGTAAAGTATTGGACAAGGTTGATAAGGAAATAAATGAAGTTGGATATGTAATATTATGGCTTGGAAACTCATCTCCGATTATGATATGGATGTTGTGAAAAAAGGTTCAGAACACTGTCTTAATTTTTTTTGGGGGGGGTGGGGGGGGGAATGCATAACATCATAAGTGGGAAACCTACTGTATTTGTGATCTATACATGCTGCCTCTTTAAGCTCTACCCAGCTAGCCAGACTTGAGTCCTGGGAGGGTAGGAAGTACAGTGCCTGCACTCTGAAGAAGGGGTGATGTCAGTGCCTTTCTGGCAAGACAGTAACTGAATGAGTGATAGTGAAAGTGTTTTCTTCTTTGTTGGGTCACCCTACCTCAGTGGGAGATGACTGATGTTAAAAAAATAATGATGGGCAATAATGTATTTGTTATTGAGCGAGGGAAGAAATTTTAAAGTCTGCTATGTATCGGCAGTCATCACTACCACTAACATTGCATCTTGAGTTGTATCTTCAACTTTTAATGATGGAAGATGGACAAATTTATGGCAGTGTTTGCTGGCACCTGTATACCCATGAGGGAGGTAGTCCACACACTGCTGCTGGTGGCAAATGCCAAGGCTTGCACTACCAAACATATTCCACCACATCCTGCTTTGAATATGGAGGTTTCACTGTAATTTACCAAACACCTGCACTTAGTAGAGGAAAGTTTGGATGACATTGCAGTCCATCCTGGACCACTGTCAAATCATAACAGCTGTGATTTGACAATGGTCCAGAATGGTCCAAATCATCATCCTAACATTCCTCACCTAAGTGTGGGTTTTTGGTGAACTGTTCAAGCTACATAATTGTGACTTTTTATTCTTGACTGTAATTTCTTCTGTTTTTATAGAATTTGTATTAGCTCACTGAAGTTATAATGTACTGTATTTAGATATACTGTACTCTATAAACCTGTATGCTAAATGCAAGATAGGTTTTGCTGTCTTTCAAAGATTTTTCAAATATTCTTTAATAAACTTCCATAATTATCAGGACGATTAGCACCAATTATCGTTGCCTAAAATATTTTGCACTTCTGCCCCTGTATATCTTTCCCTAATTTATTATTACTTAACCCTTAAACTGTGCAAATGTAGATCTACATTCATTTGCATAGCGCTCCGAACGTAGATCTACTTTTTTTTTACATAAGAAAGCATGTAAAACAAAGTTTGGAGCGCTATGCACATGAACATAGATCTACGTTTGGGGGTTAAAAACAGTGCTCTACTCCTAGGTAATGACTGAGGTTTCAGATAACTCTCAAGGTGGACAGAAAGCATGCTGTAAAGTAAAAGGACACAAGTGCAACTAATGTGACATTTATTGTGGCAACGTTTCGTTCTCCAGAGCGAAATGTTGCCACAATAAATGTCACATTAGTTGCACTCGTGTCCTTTTACTTTACATATTGTCGGTAATTCTACCAACTTTATTACAGAAAGCATGCTACTATATCTTAAAAGCTATGAAAACACTGTAATGGTGAAAAAACGATGTAAATATTTTTGGTATAGATTTTTTTGGTAAGTGGATAGGAGTCACTGCGGGTAGTCATGTGTAATGTAGATGTGCGCCTCAAATCAGGATACCTGAAAAGTTGAATATGCTGAGCTATCTTTGCCACTGAAAAAATTCCTGTATTTTTAGTCAAACCAATAACTATACAGTACTTTCTAACTTTGGTTAAAAATTTAATAATTTTCAGATTTATGGTATATCTAACTGGCATCACAAAATATAAAAATCAAAACCAAAATACTTTTCAGTATTTAGAAATTTATACATATGTCTAACTATAAGTTATTACAAAATACATATTTCTTTAAACTAGTCTAGACTATCATTGGACAAAACAAATATTGAGATGACAGACTTCCAACACCTGACAGTAACATGGTGCACTAGAGGGAGAAGTGGTGTGAGGGAAGCAGCACATAATTGTGGTAAGGGATCAAATTATTAGACAGGCTTCATTATCACCACACTGCAAGGACCAAGGGATTGTATATAATTCTACTATAGTCATATTCACATATAACAATCATTTCTTCCAACATGCACCCATTCCTCTTGCAAGATTTATCAAGCCCTTCAAAACCCAGAAATATACGCATTCTGTAATATTTAAATTAAATTACTTTTTGGAAACCAGTGGGTATGCTGTGTCTATTTTCAGGATTAGGAGAGCTTAAAAAATTATTAGCTATTACTAGCTAAAAGTTATTACTCAAAATTTCTCACTTTATTGGCTAATGATCTACTCTAAGACCATTCCTTATCACACACGAAAATCTACATACAAAAAAATTTTAATTTTTACTGCAACAGTAGGAATAAGTTGCTCATGCGTCATCAGGTACATTTTGAAAATTTTAAACATGTGCATCCATCATATGGTTATCAATCTTCTTTAAATTAACAGCTACTTAAAATGTAAGATTTTATACAATCTCAGCCATTCTATATTTTGATCACTACCCTTTTAAAACTGGTATAAAGTAGAGAAAATATAACAGAAAGCCATGTAATGGTGGCCAGAAAAAAATCCACCCAATATTTCATGATTCCATTAAATAAAACTGACATAAAAGTACTGTAGTATTTGTATTCTCAGATACAACGTTTAATGTTATACAACATCCCAACTGGTTACATTATAGTTTAATTGTATTACATATATGAACTTGTATGCTACTTACTATGCATATTATGCATATGATGTTAGTTAAGAAATGCTGCAGTGTTCATCAGGCTTGTGAAACTCAAAAAAATGTTACTAAACTTCATTATTAAGTAATTACTACTTTGTTCTTATGAGGTAGAAAAAATAAACACCTAATTCACCATTGGTTAACAAAGATGGTAAAAAATGAATACTGGCCTCATGCAACCATTCATCAGTTTATAACAAGTATTGTCTTACTTTTCAATTCAGAAAAGACATATAGTAAGGGAAATCTAGTAGCACACTACATGAATTTTCTGTCATGATACCATCTGTGTGGATCACAAAAACTCGGGTTAATTTATTCCTTGGCCACCACATAAACAAGATAAAGTTTTACCTTAACTAATCCACTTTCCACCAGGGAGAAATATAAATAAATAACATAAATTTGTGTTCGCTAACAGCTTCACACATTTGGTAGTTCTTCAATTATCAAACAATTTTACAAATACAGTACAAAGAAAAACTCAGTATTGCACTACCATTTTAAATAAGCCACACTGACCTTTTAAGATGTAATCGGTGAGTAATGTTGGTACAGTAGGACTGTCCTCATTTATGGCCATTAAAACTGGAAAAAATAAGTTAATATATATATCTATATATATATATATGTGAGCAAGGAGCTAGTAACCCCTTCTCCTGTATATGTTACTAAATTTAAAAGGAGAAACTTTCGTTTTTCCTTTTGGGCCACCCTGCCTTGGTGGGATACGGCTGGTACGTACATTGAAAGAAGAAGATGTATATATATACATTAAGTGATTGCCTATTTATAGTTACTGGTGCAAAACTATTCCCATTTTCAGTCTTTAGTGTTCATATAATATTTCTTAATTTTCCAGGGGTTATAGCACTTGTGAGGAAATGAAAATAATAGGGTTGACATTAAACACTTACATATAAAAATATTTTAATGCCCTTTTATGGAAATTCAGATACTGTCAGTGACTACTGCTAGTAGCACTATTTAATGCACAAGGCATTGTGTGCCAGAAAAGAGTAAGGGCCAAATTCAAACAACTAAAAAAATGCAGGCATGGGGGAAACCTGAGATATGGAGCTCAAGTTACTGTACACTTATGTCAGTTCTGAGCCTAAGTTACAGATGCAGAAAACAACATCTATATATTCCCACAAATAGACAAAACACTATGGAATTGATTTGCTCATTACACAAAATTTTGACTGTGGTGGCACTTATTCTTGTCTGCCATACAATGCCTCACACATGTATCCCATTCTTATTACCTGCTCTACCATAACTCGTGAAGAACCATTTTCTAGTCTTCTTTCACAACTGCTTTTGTTCTCACTTTATGTTTGTTGTTCATGTAGAGGGTGATAAAACTTCACATTTCTTGTATCCTTTTACAGTTTAAAGCTTTATCACTCTCTACATGAACAACAAATAAAAAGTGAGGAAAAAAAAGCTATTGTGGAGGAAGACTAGCAAATAGTTCTTCACAAGTAATGGTAGAGCAGATGACAAGAATGGGATACATAAGATATGCTGTAGTTTATGTGAGACACTGTGTGGCAGTCAAGAATATGTGCCACCACAACTTTTTATGTCTTTTATTGTACAGTAGGGCCTCGCTTTACGGCGTTCTGCTAATACGGGCATTTCAAACTATGACCAAAACTTGCTGTACAGCTCCCCCCACCTGACTTTCTAATATGGTCACCACGTCCCACTCGGTTTGTTTACATTTTCCGTGAGCTTCATGTCTCTCCATTATGCCTGGAAACTTTCCAAAATTTCAGGTGCATAAAATTTATTTCATATCTTATACATACTGTACTCTGATAATTATACTTATGTGTACCTGTACCTAAGTAAACTTACATACTGTGCTGGTGTGCAGGTACACATTAAAATCACTAAGAATCTCATGTCTCGAAAACGCCATATTAATAATGATGATAATAATACTCACTCAATGTTGTACATTACGTTAATATACACATTTTCATTAATATGGCTATGATATTTTTTCAAAATTATATAATAAACATGCTATTTAACATATAAACACGATAAATACACCCCACAGTAGATTAAATTAACATAAATATAGTTCAACACCAAAGAAAATGTGTGCACAATACAGTGGACCCCCGGTTTGCGATATTAGTCCGTTCCTGAGAACTCATCGTAAACCAAAATTATCGAAAAGCGAATCAATTTTCCCCATAAGAAATAATAGAAATCAAATTAATCCGTGCAAGACACCCAAAAGTATGAAAAAAAAAATTTTACCACATGAAATATTAAGTTTAATGCACACAAACTGAAGAAGACATGTACAGTTTGTAGTACTCTACTAACAATAGAATACATGACACTTACCTTTAATGAAGATCTGGTGATGATAGATGGGATGGGAGGAGGGGAGAGTGTCGAACTTATTGTTTAGAAGGGGAAGCCCCTTCCATTAGGACTTTTTGGTCCGAACTGGCAGCCTCACCATGCCTAATCACACTATGTATGCCACTACGATTCTTAAATCTTTCAAACCAACCTTTGCTGGCCTTAAATTCACTCACATCACCACTAGTTGCAGGCAATTTCTTTACCAAATCGTCATGCAACTGCCTAGCCTTTTCACAAATGATCGCTTGAGAGATGCTATCTCCTGCTATCTGTTTTTCATTTATCCACACCAATAACAGTCTCTCAACATCTTCTAACACTTGCGGTCGCTGTTTCGTAATCACAGTTTGCAACAACAGCTTCCTTGATTGCTGTTTTCCTGGTCACTATAGTAGCGATGGTTGATTGGGGTTTTGTATACAACCTGGCCAGCTCCGACACACGCACTCCACTTTCGTACTTTGCAATTATCTCTTTCTTCATTTCAACAGTCATTAGCACTCTTTTTCTCGAAGGGTTGGCACTAGAAGCTTTCTTGGGGCCCATGGTGACTTATTTTGCAGAAACAAGCACCAAAAACACTGTGATAATATGGAATGTACCGAATGTATCCTTAGATGCGAGCACACTGGCTAGCTTGTAAACACTGGCACACACGGGGCAGTTCAGGCCACACGTCTCGGACGAATCCCGTATACCGGGTTTTTTAACGGGAACCGAGGCAAAATTTTTGCGTTAAAATGTATCGAATACCAGATTTATCGGATACCGATGCCATCACAAACCGGGGGTCCACTGTAATATTACTTGGGGTAACCGTGGAAAATTATTCCTTTCATATGCCTTCACTCAGAGCATCATTTCTTCTAAAAATGGTATTACATGAGAATGGGAGTGTTGCTCTTTATTTATTCTACTGTACCAACGTGGAGACAACATGTACACAATGTAAAGGGTTTGTATTATGGTATAATACAGACATGTATGAACCAAAACCAGACGCTTTCATCTGTTTATATAACTCCGCATCTCACTAACCCTCCCCCACCACTGGTGGGGTGGGGTTCTTATGTTGGAAATATAAACACTTAAGCAGTATAATGTGATCCTTTATTGACAATGTTTCGGCCACACTAAATGCTACTCATCTCTCCCTTCATTACGACTACAAATGTTTTAAGGTAAGTAATGAGTGAACTGTATATGTATTTTATCACTCTGGGACGCTTTAAATGTTGCAGTATATTACTTGTGGGTGGGGTGGGGTGGGGATGGCCTGCCTGGCTACCATACTAACCACATCTGATTTCTTACAATAAATACTACTCATCTCACCCCACATTAAGACTACAAATATTTTAAGGTAAGTAATGAGTGAACTGTATATGCATTTTACTGCTTTGGGATGCTTTAACCCTTTGAGGGTCGACAGGCCCTCTCCGAAACTCGTTCTCAGGCTCGGCCAAATTTAAAAAAAAAAAAAAATTATTTTCTCTTATGAAAAGATAGAGAATCTTTTCCCGATCATAAAGACACCAAAAGTTTGAAATTTGATAGAAAACTTACGGAATTATGCTCTCGCAAAGTTAGCGGTCTCGGCGATGTTTACGCATCGGCGATTTTGCCCACTTTGAGCCCCATTTTCGGCCAATTTCACTGTACTAGTCGACAAAAAACATGAGTATTTCGCTAGAACTCCATTTTTTCTATCGAATGGGTGCAAGAAACCACTCATTTATGAAATTCAACTATCCAGTACAGTGGTCAGAATTTAGCAATTTTGCCAATTTCACACAAATTTCAAAAGATGCCAATTTCCGAATAGGGTCCAGAATAAACAAGAAAGACATTCCTGGCACTAAAATAACATTTCTTCTAGTCATTAGTCACGTCTCAAGGCCCCTCTTATATTCTTTTGCTTTCCACTTTGAATTTTTATTTTCACAAAAAATATAAGATTTTCTGTTATGCAGACTACTGCATTAGTGTTAAAAATGGTATAAATATTATTGGTGTACTTGTGAAAGAATATTAGACTCACCAGTTGACGTGTATTGCACGCTTGGCACGATTTGTTTACTTTTGAAGTCTGGTAAAAATCGAACATTTCTGCTACTTCGAGCTCAATTTCAAGGCACCTTTCTTTGTAAAACCAGTCAAAATCATCTCAATTTCTGTAATATGTCTTCCATTCTATAAAATGAGACCAAGAAAACTAGAATACAACAATAAATACCATACGAAAATACACTGCAAAGTCGCTGATTTATTAAAAAAAAATGGTCAAAGTTTTTTTTTTCTCATTATGCACTGTGTGCTGCAGGATTTTTTTTAGACTGTGCACACTGACCACATAGACCCATTCTTTCATATGAAGGCCTACCAGCTTTCTCCCACTAGATTTGAGGCCGCTAGAATTTATGAGTACTAGTACGTCAAAAACCCCTACGCGTAAGACGTACTAGTACAACGAAAACCCTCAAAGGGTTAACTGTCATAGTATATTACTTGTGGGTGGGGTGGGGTGGGGATGGCCTGCCTGGCTACCATACTAACCACATCTGATTTCTTACAATAAATACTACTCATCTCACCCTACATTAAGACTATAAATATTTTAAGGCAAGTAATGAGTGTACTATATGTATACAGTGGTACCTTGACTTATGAGTGCCCCAACTTATGAGTTTTCTGAGTTATGCGCTGTCACTCGGTCGATTTTTTGCTTTGAGTTGTGAGCCAAAATCTGAGTTACGAGCGAAAAAAAAAATATTTACTGAAAATGACATTTGGAAAGAGCCCCGGCCTAAATGGCACAACAAAAGGTGGTCTTGGGCCTTGGTACTTATAAAACAATGCTAGTGCATTACTCTCACTAGAGGTAATCGTGTAATTATCTTTAGTTATTCTACAAAAAAATAAAGTTGCCAAGTTTTTGACATTTGCAAAATATGCTGCCCTTTACTCCCACACAAATTCCAAAATATATGGAATATTTCCAATATTTCACAAGCCAATTCTAGAACAATCCTTTTTTTATGATTCTTGTCAATATTATTACAGTTACTTGAATAATAAATGGTGGGCTTCATGAAATAAGTCAATAACTTACTTCCGAGATAATCATATATCACTGCACTAGTGATTTAGTGCAGTTAGTCTCTCAAAAACTCCGTTTTATCTTACCCAGGACTAAAGAACACGTTATAGGAAGGAGCGGTAATGATTTTATATGCTCGGACTGGTCCTGGACACTCGCCACATTATGGGCTGTTTTAATCATTCTAGAGTATATATCATGTTTCTATGTTACTTATAGTGTTCATTATGTCATATTAGATCAATTCTGATTGATAAATAAGCTGTAGAGTTGATATTAATGTTATATTGAAGTATTTTCTCCTGCCCCTGGGATGGTGTTTTGGGGGCTGGAATGGATTAATGGCATTTCAATTAATTTCAATGAGGAAAACTGATTTGATATACGAGCAAATTGAGTTACGAGCTCGGTCACGGAACGAATTAAACTCGTAAGCCAAGGTACCACTGTATTTTATTTTTTTATTGTTTTTAATGCTTAGTTCTACTGGTAACTTATATTAGTGTCAACTTGTTAACTAGCATTTATATGCATTTATAAGTGAGAGAAAAAAAGTGTTCCACTTTACAGGGGTAGCCTGGAACCTAACCTGCTGTGAGGCCCTACTGTACTTGTTTGTGGTTATTATATCTCCTCTGTCCCTATCTACCAACTAGGTCATTTTTTACTCACTTTTCTACATTCCTCCCTTATCAGTGTAAATTAACCATGTGGGTCATTAAGACTGTAATTTACCTCTGCATTAATATCATATGATGAAATGGAGACAAAAAATTAATACCAGTGCATATATTTCAGGAGAGAAAAAATGTTATCCATCAGAATGAGTGAAGAGCTGGAAACCAAAGAAACTAAGTTAAAAGTGGAAAAGGCATTAGGTATGGTTGGCATTATGACTGTGGGGTTGAATAGTGGAAGGATTGGTACAGCAGGCCTTTTAGCCAAGAGGAAATCTTAAAAGTATTGTACAAGTTGCCTAACTTGAAGTCAGATCAAACAAAAAATTAACCTTAATGTAGAAATATGAGATTAAAATGTATGTTGGTATCATCATATACTAGTGAAACCTCTTTATATGTTTGTTAATCATGATCTTTGAATGATGCAGCCAGGAGCTTCATTACTGTATTTTAAAATGTTCTAACATTTTTACAATTCTTGTGTCTTCTGCAATATTGTAGTAATAAAATTTGTTATACCAGTATATCAATCACATTATAATTTCACTTAATAACTGATTTCATATTATGATCCTAAGATATTAAGTAATGAAGAACATCAAGCAATGGTACAAAAACTCACTCTTAATGAGGATCTGAAGAGTTGGATTATGCGGGGGACCATGACCCACATCATAGGGGATGACCGTAGTTAAATACTGGGGAAAAAATAAAAGCATCAGTTGTATTTAAATACAGATAGTACATGCTAACTAGTTATGAATTTAGAGTTGTTAATTGCTCAAGATATCAATAAATATTAATAGTGATTTTTTTCATGAGTACTGCAATTTATCAGTAACAATTTAAACAAATACAAGCACAAAAGTACACACAAATAGATAATTGCAAATATGATAGGAAATTTCAACTATGGTGATACAGACATGAGCACTGAGACCTTCACAGAGACCCAGAGATAAAGGAGCAAGTTCACTGACTGGATAATGCAAAGCCTCCTAAGCCAGCATGTTTCAGAATTGATGAGATTATGAGGGATCAGCAAACCAACAGAACTGGACCTTCTTTCTGCCTTAACCAACATGAATATAGAGAATTTAGCACAGAGTGCCCAAGAGTAAGGAAACGATATGCATTGACATTCTCTTAACCTTGTGAAAGTGCAGGCAAAGAAAAAGAAGAAAAACATAACGACTTAGACTGACGAATGGAAAAGGTGACTGAAAAAATGTAACTTCTGAAAAAAGAACAACAGTGGAATGCATAATTTTGAGGACAATCCATTTAGGAAATTTTGAACTTCAACCTTAAATGCAAAGAGCTAGCATAGAGACATGTTCAACCTACACAACCCATACAGATTGAGTGCAGTTTGTGAAAATAATAATGATACAAAATAATAATAATAATAATAATAATAATAATAATAATATGCAAACCACAGGGAAATAGCTAAGTAACATTGGAAAAATTCCAAGATTCAACCATTATATAAGGAGGCAAAAATCACAAACAAAAACATGGAAAAAGTGCAAGACAAACTCATCATAGAACTAAAACTCAACAGAAGAGCCAGAAATTAGAGTAATATTTTTGGGTGGGAAGAGATGCAGAAAAACTGTTAAATGGACATAGCAACCAAAGCATGGACAACCAAGGTTGCTGCACAACTATACTGAAAGAAAAATTACAGTAAGGGCTTATGATACCACTAAAAAAGGAAACAGTAACTGTTGCTGAGGAACAGTTTCCTGTGCTGTATTAGCCATAGAACCATTCTGTAGATATTCTTGTCTTAAGAAAGGTGCAAGACAAATAGCAAGCAGATAGTCTGGTTATATGTTTGATACATACTAGCACAAATATATTTTACAATTTCTAATGATACTTAAGTTTTATGTTTGACACAATGAATGGGTCAAGACAAAAGATTTAATTGTAATTCATATGTCAAAAAAAAAAAAAAAAAAAAAAAAAAAAAAAAAAAAAAAAAAAAAAAAAAAAAAAGAAGACAATCACGGTTTGAAAATAAATGAAATTGTAATGCATACTGATGCCATTAACCCCCGCACTTCTTACTTCTATGTGGTAGGGAAGAATCTATACATTAGGGATATTTAAACTGCGACCTAATTTTCAATAGGACCTTCCACAGTCAGTGGCAACACATATGCACACTATCCACACAGACATACTGTACCAAAGAAGAATATTGAAAACAAAAATGTAATAGCAAATTCACAACTTCAAATAAAAAACAAAACAGAAAGGCCACAGTAAAATTCAATCCACCTTCGGATCTGTGCCATTAGGTCCAACCTTCTTCTGTCTTTTCTTCTCCACATTAAAGTTCCGTCTTTTGTTCTGCACCTGTTGAAAATAACAATTATGTCTAAAAACAACTGATGGAAATATGTATATGCTGCAGTCTGTACAACCCTTACAGGTTTAGTGCTTGGTTACGATTATATATTATATACTGTAGTTTGTAATCATTTTTATGCATAACAGTAATTTGACTTAATCATATAACTACATGTCAGTGATATGCACTACAATTTTCTAAATCATTCTTGTACAAAAATAAATTTTAAATGCTAAAAAATGTACATACAAGTTTGGTTAGAGTAGTCTTTAACTGCATTCTGATGTACTGTTTTTTTTTTTTTAACAAGTCGGCCATCTCCCACCAAGGCAGGGTGACCCAAAAAGAAAGAAAATCCCCAAAAAGAAAGAAAATCCCCCCCCAAAAATTACTTTCATCATCATTCAACACTTTCACCTCACTCATACATAATCACTGTTTTTGCAGAGGTGCTCAGAACACAACAGTTTAGAAGCATATACAGTGGACCCCCGCTTAACGATCACCTCCAAATGCGACCAATTATGTAAGTGTATTTATGTAAGTGCGTTTGTACGTGTATGTTTAGGGGTCTGAAATGGACTAATCTACTTCACAATATTCCTTATGGGAAAAAATTCGGTCAGTACTGGCACCTGAACATACTACTGGAATGAAAAAAGTTCGTTAACCGGGGGTCCACTGTACATATAAAGATACACAACATATCCCTCCAAACTGCTAATATCCCAAAACCCCTCCTTTAGAGTGCAGGCATTGTACTTCCCATTTCCAGGACTCAAGTCCGACTATATGAAAATAACCGGTTTCCCTGAATCCCTTCACTAAATATTACCCTGCTCACACTCCAACAGATCGTCAGGTCCCAAATACCATTCGTCTCCATTCACTCCTATCGAACACGCTCATGTACGCCTGCTGGAAGTCCAAGCCCCTCGCCCACAAAACCTCCCTTACCCTTTCCTTCCAACCTTTTTGAGGACGACCTCTACCCCGCCTTCCTTCCCCTACAGATTTATATGCTCTCCATGTCATTCTACTTTGATCCATTCTCTCTGAATGACCAAACCACCTCAACAACCCCTCTTCAGCCTTCTGACTAATACTTTTATTAACGCCACACCTTCTTCTAATTTCCACACTCCGAATTTTCTGCATAATATTTACACCACACATTGCCCTTAGACAGGACATCTCCACTGCCTCCAACCGCCTCCTCGCTGCTGCATTCACAATCCAAGCTTCACACCCATATAAGAGTGTTGGTACTAATATACTTTCATACATTCCCTTCTTTGCCTCCATAGATAACATTTTTTTGTCTCCATATATACCTCAATGCACCACTCACCTTTTTTTCCTCATCAATTCTACGATTAACCTCATCCTTCATAAATCCATCCGCCGACATGTCAACTCCCAAGTATCTGAAAACATTCACTTTTTCCATACTCCTCCTCCCCAATTTGATATCCAATTTTTCTTTATCTAAATCATTTGATACTATCATCACCTTACTCTTTTCTATGTTCACTTTCAACTTTCTACCTTTACACACACTCCCAAACTCATCCACTAACCTTTGCAATTTTTCTTTAGAATCTCCCATAAGCACAGTATCATCAGCAAAAAGCAACTGTATCAATTCCCATTTTGTATTTGATTCTCCATAATTTAATCCCACCCCTCTCCCCAACACCCTAGCATTTACTTCTTTTACAACCCCATCTATAAATATATTAAACAACCATGGTGACATTACACATCCCTGTCTAAGACCTACTTTTACTGAGAAGTAGTCTCCCTCTCTTCTACACACCCTAACCTGAGTGTCACTATCCTCATAAAAACTCTTTATAGCATTTAGTAACTTACCACCTATTCCATATACTTGCAACATCTGCCACATTGCTCCCCAATCCACTCTATCATATGCCTTTTCTAAATCCATAAATGCAATAAAAACTTCCCTACCTTTATCTAAATACTGTTCACATATATGCTTCAATGTAAACACTTGATCTACACATCCCCTACCCACTCTGAAACCTCCTTGTTCATCCGCAATCTTACATTCTGTCTTACCTCTAATTCTTTCAATTATAACCATGCTGTACACTTTTCCTGGTATACTCAGTAAACTTATTCCTCTATAATTTTTACAATCTCTATAATTTTTACAATCTTTCTTGTAATCTGCAACCACACAACCATTTACATCTATTAAAATAATTTGTTACAATTTCCTCATACCTGAAGGAGAAGCGAAATAAAAGAATTCTTGAGCTCCTTCTCATATTCAAGTTCGTCACGTAGTGCCAGTTGGTTAATTAGCGTCTCGGAGTACTGTCGGATCACCAGCTCCAGCTCCATCAAAGACTCGTTCAGCTCACCAACACTCATATTCTTTAACTCTGTTAGCAAAATTTTTAACTGTAGTAATCATCAACCTCTTCCTCTGATACATTTTAGTGCAATGTTCGTATAATGTTGATTTGCTAATATTAATCTTATGGAAACAAACCAGTCATGGTTAAACAAATTATATGAAAAACTAAGCTCAATTATACTTCAAACTTCTTAAAATTTTAAAACACTTTCTTGGTGAAGATTACTGTATATAATTACTATTATTTACGTTGTATCTGTTTCTATTGGCCCATATGCTTTAATTCTTTCAATGTTTTATTGATCACTTGTGTATTTTAAATCTTTTTATCCTGCTGGTGAGGGCATTGAGTGGATTAACTCATCAGCATAATGAATGAGGCTAGTATTATCACAGAATGGTTGCAGGAGGTCATCTACATGCATGGAAATGACCTCCTGCAACCTGAGGCTCCTACTGAAGCAATGTGTTTCAACAGGAGCCTCAGGGAACTCCTCAATTGGAGATAAAAGCCTCTGCAAACATTATTTTAACCCTTTGACTGTTTCGGCTGTATATACATGTCTTACGGGTCAGTGTTTCGGACGTATATATACTCTAATTCTAGCTGCTTCAAATCAAGCAGGAGAGAGCTGGTAGGCCCACATGAGAGAAAGAGTCTGTGTGGTCAGTGTGCACTGTATAAAAAAAATCCTGCAGCACGCAGTGCATAATGAGAAAAAAAACTGACCGTATTTTTGGTTTAAAATGCCGACTTTGAGGTGTATTTTCCTATAGTATTTATGGCTGTACAGTATTCTCATTTTCTTGGTCTCAATTGATAGAATGGAAAACATATTACAAAAATAGAGATGATTTTGATTAGTTTCACGATGAAAAGGATCTTGAAATTGAGCTCAAAATAGCAGAAATGTTCGATTTTTACCAATGTTCAAGAGTAAGCAAATCACACCACACATCCAATATACGTCAACTGGGGAGTCTAATATTCTTTCACTAGTGCACTGATATTATTTATACCATTTTTACAATAATGCAGTAATCTGCATAACAGTAAATCTTCTATTTTTTGTGTGAATAAAAAATCAAAATAGAAAGCAAGAGTAATATAAGATGGGCCTGGAGATGTGACTAGTGAACAGAGGATATGTTATTTTAGTGCCTAGAATGTATGCATTGTTTATTCTGGGCCGGTGGGCCGGTGGCCCGGTGGCCTGGTGGCTAAAGCTTCCACTTCACACATGGAGGGCCCGGGTTCGATTCCTGGCGGGTGGAAACATTTCGATTCGTTTCCTTACACCTGTTGGCCTGTTCACCTAGCAGCAAATAGGTACCAGGGAGTTAGCCGACTTGTGTGGGTCGCATCCTGGGAGACAAGATTGAGGACCCCAATGGAAATAAGTTAGACAGTCCTCAATGACGCACTGACTTTCTTGGGTTATCCTGGGAAGCTAACCCTCAGGGGTTAAAAATCCGAACAAAATCTTATCTTTTATTTGCGTGAACTTGGCCAAATTGCCAATTTCTGACCACTTTATTGGATAGTTGAAATCAGTAAATGGGCAGTTTCTTGTACTCAATTGATAGAAAAAATGGAGTTCTAAAGAAATAGCTATAAGTTTGGTCAACTGGTACAATGGAACTGGCCGAAAATAGGGCTCAAAGTCGGCGAAATCGCTGATGCGTATACATATTGCCGAGATCGCTAACTTCGCAGGAGCGTAATTCCGTACTTTTGGTGTCATTACCTTCGGAAAAGATTCTCTATCATTTCATAAAAAAAAAAATTTTCCCAAAATTTTTTCGACACCAGGAGACACTTCAGGATTTGGGGTTGCATCAGTCAAAGGGTCAAGGTGTGATATTTCTGTTGGCGAGTATACATTATATTAGAATAGTATTAGGAATGTTCAATTATTATCTGGAAGATATGAAATTTGCAGTATAAAACAGTACTATTTTTTCATAATTTTTGAAGTGGTGGACCGGTAAAGCAATGGAAGGCTTTGGTCAGGTGACCGAAAGCTCCAGCTGCAGGTCATCATATGACTAAAACCCGCATCAGGAAACACTTGTCCTGTTTCCTGACAAACCTAACCATAATTTTTTTTCTTTCTGACTTCTTATATAGAAGTACAGTGCTGTATTTTGAAGACTATCAAGGAACTTACTTTCTGCATAAAGTGGAGCAGGAGTACAGTATAGTACAATATTTTGAAGACTATCAGGGAACTTACTTTCTGCATAAAGTGGAGCAGGAAAAGGTCGAGATATGGGTTCTTGCGTGTTCTCTCCTGAAGATGAACTCTCTTCTAAGCCTTCATCTTCAGACGAGCTTCCCTCCTGCAGAAACAAATTAAATTAATTCACTGGCCAGTATTGTTTTGCCAAATTTTAAGTGCTTGTAAGAACCAGAAATAAAAAAAATTTACATTATTTCAGTCATATGCAATACATAATATCCATCATAAAAGACTTTATTCACATTCAGAGGTAAAGTAATTTAAAGAGTAAATATACACTCACGATATTGTGAAATCTCATTTCACAGAAAGGAGTGATGCATATATGATTTTTACCTGGTTGCTCACCCTGTAAACAAGTTTTGTCAACATGTCGGACCTACACAAGTGTCGTTGGCTGGTTGGAAAAAAATTAGCAGATACAGTGATGGGTGGCGAATGCAGCCAGTATAAATGTACTCTTAGTTTTACTTTCCTATGTGTGTCTTTATACTGTAGTTCATATTCCTGTAATATTTCCTTTTCCCCTTTATGTGGCCTGGTCTGAAATGGGCTAGTGGGGTGAAACTTTCTGGAACCATTAGCAGATATAACAGAACCCATACTGGTGAATATTATGTAGACACTGTATCACTCAGCCACCACAACACAAAGTAATGTAGACTATATTTAAAGGGATTCACTCTATTTTAAATGATTCACCCCAGTCACCATGGCTACATCATACACACACACCAAGTTTAGTGCTTACTTTGATTATATTATTATTACATCTTACACACTATGGATATTTTTCCTTGGTAAAAACCTACCACCTGACCCTCATATAGAAAGGAAAAAGGAATATTCCTTGTCTTGTAATTAGCAATGGTACTTGATGGCCTGCTCCATTTGCCTTTTAAATGCTGTATTTTCCACTGTCTGTCTTTTCTTTTCATTCATGTGCCTTTCTATTCAAGTTTTTTCTTCATATTTTCTCATTTGTATCTACATGCATGAAAAGTCAAATTTTCATTCTTGTCACACAGTAGTAACTGCTTCAATCTTATGACAACCAACCCAATGGGTGGAATTATCAGACTTATGTTTCAAATGCTCCTTCAATAGTTTTAAAACATGAAGGCCTTTGAAATATGTGGGTAAGATTTTTGCATGAGGGCCACTCCTGTAATGATGGGGAGTTCCTAGCCATAAAAACCAAGTCTTCACACATCTTCACACACCTGCATAATGTCATCAATCTCTTGAATAACCTCTTCAGCACTTTTGACAGGGTCAGCAGTGAGGCCATTAAGGATCAGGTGGTGAAGGTCTAGGTCTTGAGCCACTTCCTCCTCCTCATCTGCATTTTCCTCTGTCCCACCATCAGTCTCCTTTGTTGTCCCACCAGGCACATCCTACAAAATGCAGAAAAAATAAAATCAACTGTATAACTTACTAGCTACTGTATATTGCATCATCATTCACACACATCCACCCAAAATAAAAAAAACTAATTTTCTATTTCTTTTTTTTTCACAATTGAAAAAAATTCACCTTATGTTGACTCCCGGCAATTATTTATATGGATAGAAGAATATCTTGAATCAGCAGTAACTGCTCTTTTAATGTCTGCCAGAGGCAGTATACATGTTAGTTTGTTTTGCTTTATGTTTAGCTATTTAAAAGCTGATGTGTAGGTTAGGTGTGTAAAGGTTTAAGATCTCTCAACTGCTGGGTCTTAAAGAAAGCACATTTCCTTATTTCTATCCTTCAAATATACAGTATTTTAATCCTTAAAGTATTAAGGATTGTGCTAAATTCTCAGCTACAGTGAAAGTTCATGGAAAATTGATGATGTCTAAAGCTGCTATGAAATTATTATGTGGATATAACAAATTACTTGTTCTGAACATTATGGAAATACTTAAGTGCTTGTATTAAATGTAACAATAAACTCGATACCGTACTGTATGCCTGCGAGTCAGAAAATACTACAGTATGTATTTAAAGATCTAACGGATAAATAATGACAACTTCCAGCATAAGAAACTTTCAGTGATATCTGAGGCTGCTTTGATAAACATGAGCAGAATGCTATGCATAGTCTTAAAATGATTGGTTAGCTAAGCTGCGAACACTGGTGTTTCATTATCCGTTAATGGTTTTGGGGATCATCACCCCCTTCAGCCAAATCTTGGACCAGGACTCTTAAATTGGAAAGGAAATATTAAAGAAATAAGAACTATTAAGAAACACACAAGGAAGTTAAATGGGTAAGTGCTTACTAAATGTAAACAGATGGTGGCAAGATTTACCAACCATCTTACATATTTATAATACAAGAAAAGAACTGCAATCCTTCTGGAGTGCAAAACTACTAAAATGCTTTGATTTACACTTTTAGGATAACAGTTATTCCTTGGATAGTTGATGTCTACCAATATACTACTGTACCTTGAAAGTTAATTTGATATCCAAGATACAAAATTCTCACAAATCCCACATGTTAAAGCCAGGAACAAGTACCATTCTGCCTTGGCTTTTTTATCAAGTAAACCTGTCAGTAATATGGCTGGGTCTCCATGAAATAATTTACCAATATGTTTAGGTTCCAGTACAATATGCCCAGGTCATGGGAAGAACTTAAAAATTCTCTTGCTTTCTGTAGTGCCAGTGGCTTACAGTTATGGTATTAGACTTTTACTTATTGGTCCTGAGACACTGTAGAGTATCATAATTGCATTTATTTATCTTCACTGAAATCAGAGCCTGCAGTCAATGTTTCACACGTGATTTCTCACTTTCTCATGACCTGGATACACACCTGACCAAGCTTAGATTATGCCATCTAATTCCAAAATTCATACAAGTGCACCAGATACAACATGATCAGGTTCAAAGAGACACAAGCTGAACAATATGCAAGCACTAAAATTTAAATTTCTGATCACACAAATGTAACACGATGAAGGGGAAGAAATCAAAAGCAGAACTACTCAAGAGAAAATTGTACGTGTTCTTGCAAAATGTGCCAAATCAGCCAGGTTGTGGTGGTTAAGCAGGCCTATGGGCTGGTGGCAGTAACAGCCTGGTTGATTAGGCAGTCAACAGGCAAGTGTGGGATCATGCCAGGCTGCTACAGTAGAACTTTCAAAACCATCATAGCTATGTATCCCACTACTTAAGCATGCTGAGCACTACACATCATTAGACAGCTGTAACCAAAACTTTTTTTACCAAGTCAACTAAATTGTAATAGGCTGAACGGCTATTAATATTACTATATTCATTAAGAGGTGCTAATACCACATGGGCCATACACTGCCTAAGACCCACTATTGCTGCATATTACATTTTGCACAACTGAAAATTATAATTCAGTTGTCACGTAATATTTGTTTCTACACATTCCTGTCAGTGTAAAATGGTTTAACAATTCTATTACCACTACTGCTTCTTCTTTTACTATTGTTACTATTACTACAGCAGCACTGTATGACCCTGGTGGTTAAGCACTTAGTTTTGATTATAATACTACTACAACAACAATATAATAATTATAATAAACTAGTGTATTCACTGGTTGGAAGCATTATGAGATAGACTAACCTTGATTTCATTGAGGTTAAGAACAGGAAGGTACTGCTGCCGGGTATATGTCTTGCTCCAGTCAATGGGTAAGATGTTACCAAAGTTACCTGTGATCGTCCACCACATCCTGAAACAAAGTCATTGGTTTAATATTGTCTCCTTCAATGTATACAAATAAATAATTATTTGACAGCAAGCAATAAATTATAACTGTGTTTCATCAGCTGTAATTGCTCACATACATATAATAACAATATTAATAATAATAATAATAATAATAATAATAATAAATAATAATAATCTTTATTTCTACAAATACAGGTACAAGGTATACAGGCCTAGCTTGACATCAGTAAAATACTACTATATAGATTATAATTATTATAATCATGGGGGAGTGCTAAACCCGTAGGATTATACAGCGCATGTGGGGGAGGGGATGAAAGGTATTCAGGCTCAATTCAGGGAACCGGAGCACAGATCCAATTCCCTAGATCAGGAGCCCTTCACCAGCGTCAAGGAATATCCCTTGAGGGAACTATGTAGAAAACCCCTTGTTATGCAGAGCATAGCAAGGGGCTTTCAATTTTGTCCCCAGGATTTGACCCACACCAGTTGACTAACACCCAAGTACTGTACCTATTTTACTGATAGGTGAAGGACAACAGGTCCCTTAAGGAAACACGTCCAACTGTTTCCATCCGTACCGGTGATCGACCCCTGGACCTCAGTGTGTAAGCTGAGTACGCTATCAATTTTTTTTATAGTCGATATTCAATGGCACCAACTGTGACCCTAATGTCCCATCCCACAGTCCCAGAAGCTTTCACGTTGTATCTTATTATCATAGCCCTCAAAGCTATATACAGTAGAGAAGTATGACCTTTGTTGGTTTAGCGCTTAACCCGTAAACGGTCCAAGCAGATCTACGTTCACATGTGTAGTGCTACAAAAGTAGATCTACGTTTTTTTTTTACAATTTTCAAATATAACAAAAAAAAGTAGATCAAAGTTTTTTTACACATTTTCAAATGTAAAAAACAAAAAGATGATCTACTTTTTTTTACATACTTTCAAATGTTGAAAAAACGTATATACATGCATACGTTTGGACTGTTTATGGGTTAATTATTATAATCATGGGGGAGCACTAAACCCGTAGGATTATAAGCGCTTAGTTATGATTACAATAATAATATATACAGTAGAATATAAAGCCAAGGCGAGTCTTTATGAATGACTGCCAATGAATATACAGTGGACCCCCGGTTAACGAACTTTTTTCATTCCAGTAGTAAGTTCAGGTGCCAGTACTGACCGAATTTTTTCCCATAAGGAATATTGTGAAGTAGATTAGTCCATTTCAGACCCCCAAACATACACGTACAATCGCACTTACATAAATACACTTACATAATTGGTCGCTTTTGGAGGTGATCGTTAAGCGGGGGTCCACTGTACATGAAGAATTGATGGGGACTCAAAATGTTGTCCATGGCTGTAGTAGGTCCAATGTTGAAACCACTCAACCACAGAGCATACGACAGGATTGTTTTACAACCAGGATTTCTGTGACAGGGTTGTATTGTGACACTGAGACCCCAAATGTCTCATCCCACAACTCCAGAAGCTTTCATGGTACATCTATTCAATGACTACATTCATGGTCTACATGCATGCACCACAGTTTAAGACCCCACCCAGTCTTGCTTATTTATCAACAGTCGTTGTAATGACACACCTGAGTTTATGGATTATATGGCTTTGGGGGAAAAAGGGGTATGGGAATAGATGCACTATGAAAGCTTTGGGGTTAAGGAATGAGGCAGTAGGATCACAGCTGGTACCGCTCATACAACCGTCACACAGAAATGCTGATTGTAAAATATTGGGACTATAAGCTCTGACCCCTCTGTGGCTGAGTGGTCACAGCGTTGGACCTGCTACATGGACCACGGTTCAAGTCCCCGTCATTCTTCTGTTTACTTAAAGTTGTTCATTACTAGTTATCATGAGTGCATACTTACATGTTCACTCAAAACGAATGGGGTAGCCCAATACTGCCTTTTTGACGGTATGTTCGTTCAGGATGAGTGGCACTGCCCAAAATGCCCTGGCATGCTAGTGGCTTTCTTTGTACCCATCAACACGCTTTATATGCATTCACACATTGAAAACTATGCAAAGAAATAAAATTGTTTATTGTATCTTCATGTTAAATACAAAAATACAAGGCCATGTGAGAAACTAATAGTCTTATTAGTTGCTAATGTGTCCTTTTACCTAATATAATGTCAATAATTCTATCAATATTTTTACATAGTATCTTCCTGATGCTCAATACTCAGCAATCTTCGCTAAACATTAGAGCAAAAAACGTGTCTTCCTGGTAAATGATGCAGGTGTATCTGCATCAAGGGTACGCTCACTGGCCTTCACTAGTCATTCTGAACCATCGCTAATTATTACACTATGTAACAAAATTTCACTTTTGTCATGTTCCTGGAAAATAAGCATCATTTCCCAATTCTTTATAACTAAACAAATTAAAAAAAATCTGATCCCAGAACTTTGGTCTTGTGGTCAGGAACTTCTGGAACACTTTCAAGAAAGACTGATGTAAAACTATTATGTTCTAGGGTTTTGCTTGGCAAATATAAAAACAGAGGCCCACAAACCAGCAGTCAGTTCAGCTCTGGCTGCCTGAGAAGACACATCAGTAAAAGTGAAACGGCATCAAGAAGCTGCAGTCGTTCTCCAGATGCATTCTGCTACATATGTGGTCAGTTCACTAGGACAAAAGCAAAGAAGTTATCTGTAACAGCATCTAAAAAAATGTGTGAAGCTTACAAAGCATATTTTGGCATGCCAGTTGGGGACCAAGACAAGACCTGGGCACCTCATGTTGCTTGTGAGCATTGTAAGAAAACAGTGGAAGGTAAGTCATTAGTTATATGAAGAGTAAAATCTTCAATAGGAACATTTTTTAAATGAAATGTATGTAACAGAAACTAATTCTTTTGTTCTTTCACGGGATGGTATAGAGGAGTAAAAAGAGCCATGAAGTTTACTGTTCCTAGAATATGGTGTGAACCCACTGATCACTCAACCCCTACTTCTGCCTGGTGGATCCTTCCAAACCCGAACTGGGAAAAATGCACCTGCTATTTCTTATCAGACCTCCCCTCTTCTATTGCACTAGTACCACACAGTGCTGATCTTCCTGTACCTACACCTCCAGAAAGAAGTCAACCGTCAGAAGACGAAAGCAGCAAATCAGAAAATGAAGAGCACAATGAACAACATTATAATCTCACAGATGCAGCTGTTTGGAGGAATCCTTACTACCCAAACCAGACCTTAATGACCTTATCAGAGATTTTGGTTTGACAGAGTCAAATGCTGAGCTTTTGATTTCAAGGCTCGAGGAGTGGGACTTGGTGGATGAAAGTGTGCAAGTGACAAACCAAAGAAAACATCACCAACATTTCTCAAGCTTCTTCACTAATGAAGACAGTTTGATGCAATTTGAATTGCATGCAATCCAACTGAGTGGAGATTCTTCATTGACAGCTCATCCAGAAGCCTAAAAGCAAGTATCCATCTCTTCCCTTGGCTCATTCAGTGCATCTTAAGGAGGACTACAACAGCATCAAATTTCTACTGGAAGCTTTGAACTATGATAAGTATGGCTGGTAGGTTATTGGAAACTTCAAAATGGTGGCATTTTTGATGGGACTCCAAGGAGGTTTTGCCAAGTTTCCCTGTTATCTCTATCATTGGGATAGTAGAGACAGAGCAGCACATTACCAGAGGATACACTGGCCTCAAAGGACTGAGTTCTCAGTAGGAAGACAATATCAAACATAAACCATTGGTGGATCCTCCAAAGATTCTGTTCCCTCCATTGCGCATCAAACTAGGGTTAATGAAACAATTTGTTGCAGCTCTTGACAAAGTCTTCAGCCTTCAGGTATCTTCAAGTATCTATCAGAGGCAAAGGTGAAGGGTGGCATCTTCACTAGACCACAAGTTAGGAAAATCATGAAGTGCTCAGAATTTCCAAAGAAGCTCACAGAGAAGGAAGAGGAAGCCTGGGAGAGTTTTGTTGCTGTAGCACAGGGCTTTCTGGGCAACAACAGGGCTGACAATTATGTGGAACTTGTTGAGACCTTGGTAGAAAGCTATGGTTAAATGGGCTGTAGGATATCCCTTAAGGTCCATATCCTTGATGCTCATCTTGACAATTTCAAGGAGAATATGGGAGCATACTCAGAGGAGCAAGGGGAGCACTTCCACCAAGATATCAGGTACTGTATCTTATAATGAAAACATGATGGGAGACTACATCTGGGGGCTTAAACAAGAAAGTGATTTGTTGCATGCTCGCCAATCTAGAAAAACTGCTCATTTTGAACTTTGTAAATATGTTTCAGAAAGTTTAAAGTAAAATTTGTGTATATTTTATTTATGTAAATTTTATTCATTTTTATGTTTTTGTTTTACAGCCAAAACTAGCAAAAAATCTCGAAATTTTGCCATTTTTTTTTTTTGGTCAAAAATTCATCCAGTAAGCCACAAAAGCAAAGTTTAAAAGGAATAATGGGAATTTTCTATTGTTTTGCAATAAAAGGAGTTGGAAAATAACACTTGCCAGGAACAAAAATTGTGTTAAACAGTGTTATTATTATAATCAAAGAAAGCGCTACACCAAACCATTGTTATTTATAGTCCCAGCAACTTTTTCTATACCTAGATTAACAATGATATGCTCTGCCCAGGTGAGATATGAAGCCAGCATTGAAGGTACCTACGAAAGCACTAGAGGGAAATGGGCAGTGGCCACACCAAGGAGGAGGGGGACAACGAGCTGAAACCCTAAAATAGGAATAATAATAGTAACTCAGTTTCAAAACAAGTCCCCTTGTCCCCCTTCACACTATATTGCCACCCCTAATCTCCTCTGCATAGAAATTCTGGAGCCGTCCCTGGGAATGGAGAGAGTGGATCATCAATGAACTTGTTAACCCTTTCTCCTTATAGTATGCACTCACCTTAATTAAGAGTGCCCAATAATGAAACCAATCCCACGAGTCATACTGATGACGCAATTTGTTACCTCTGTGA